AGGAAGAGTAATTCTGTCTGGAGTGGGAACAGATGATTTTGCATAAAAGACATTCACATTTTTCACAAAGATTGCTTATAAAAGAGGAGGTAGAGCTAGTTCAAAATAAATGACAAATTTTTAGTCTCATTAGCAAATATTTTAAAAAATACCACTTTCTATGTAACATATCAGCAAGGATTTTTTAAAATAGTTAGAGACATAATGATAAAGAAATATATATATATATATATAATTACTACAAAAATCTTAATAGTTATCTATGGATAATAAACTATGTATTTATTTTAAAATACTACATATGGAAACCCACTCCAGTATTCTTTACTGAAGAACCCCACAGACAAGAGGAGCCTGCCGAGCTGCAGTCCATGGGGTCACAGAGAGTTGGACACATCTAAGTGACTCAACAACAATAACATACATACTACTGTAACAATATGATATAGCTACATTCATGAATTTTAAAACTTTAGTCTCTAGGAATTTGAAATACCTTTTCCAGGAATCCACATTACACAGGTGATTGTAAATATGAAATTCCATACCAAGAACTTTGTTAGTCATCGTAAAGAGACTTTAGAAATGTTTCATTAACAAATGAGTGATGCTCCTAAGTGTAGTACAGAAAGACTGTATGGGTGCCAGAGCCCTTGCGAGAGCAGAATTCTGGAATCTGGTGATCTTGGCAGCCAACACTGATGAAACAGTCCTCTATTCCAGCACTGTCCCATACAGTAGCTGCTGACTCCATATAGTTTTTAACATTTAAACTTAAAATAATTTAAAATTCAGTTCTTTAGTCATACTAGACACATTTTTAAACGTTCAGCAGCCACACATGGCCATGTCTACTGTGTCGGATAACCCAGCTATACGGAACAGAAAGTTCTACTGAACACAGGTATTCAAGACCTAGATCTCCATTTGGTCTTGGATGCTCCCTCCTCGAAAGGAAGACTTTATTGTCTCATTTAACCACGAGGTTGACTGATCTTGCGGCCACAATACTGGATCCTCTTTGAGGATGGACTTTTTGCCAAACTTGTAAAAGCAGCTGCATGAATGTTTTGTGCCTACTTAGTAAAACTCATGAAAAGAAAGAATGAGTCTGACCTGCTTTCACTGTAACCACACCACCTAGTGGTGAGGTGATATAGGAGAGGATGCGCAGCACCGAGAAGCGATTCATGCTCATCAAAAGGAACTGACAAGAGTTAGGCGCTAAAATGGCTTAGATCAGTTCACCAATCCCTCAGCCCTTTTATATTTTCCAAAAAAATTTTAAAGAGTTTAAGTACCATGAGAGGCATGTGTAATGAATTATAAAAATGTATTTTTTGACATTTGGGAACATGAAGTCCAGAAAGGAATAAAGGAAAGTTAATAAATAAGGAGTCAGATTTATGATTAGAAAAATAGCTTCAGCAGCCAGGTAAGGACAAACTAGAAGGCATGAGGCTTTAACATTAATTCAGATGAGATCATGAGAACCTGGACTACCTGGTGTCACAACGTGCTAAGGCGCTCCAGTTGCGTCAGACTCTTAGTGACCCCACGGACTGTAACCCACCAGGCTCCTCTGTCCATGGGATTTGGAATACCAGAGTAGGCTGCCATCTCCTCCTCCAAGGGATCTTCCCAACCCAGGGATCAAACCTGCATCTCCTCTGTCTCCTACACTGGCAGGTGAATTCTTTACCACTGAGCTACCTGGGCAGCCTGAATTACCTGGTAGCACCTAACAAAACGCAGGCACAGAACTGGGCTCCAGATGGGTTCTTGTGGCAGGAATCACAGCCAAGGCTGATTTTCCTGTGCTTCCCTTCACTGTGCTCTGCAGATAACCGCATTATTCACAGACTGAAGGCTTGTGGCGACTCTGCATCAGGCAACTTTCCTGACACTGTTCTTTCAGCAGCGCTTGTCACTCTGTCTTAGTGTCACATTTTGGTAATCCTCAAAATATTTCAAATTTTTTCATTATTATTTTATTTGCTGTGGTGATCTATGGTCTGAGATCTTTGATGTCACTATTGTAAATGCTTTGGGGTACCACAAACTATGCCCATATAAAATGCTGAACTTAACAATTGTGTGTGTTCTGACTGTTCGACCATCAGCCAACACATCTGTCTCCTTCCCTTTCCTCGGGCCTGAATTAAGCCAATTAAGGACCCTACAATGAAGAAAGAGAATGCAAATATCTCATTTATAATTTCTATTTTGGTTATATGTTCAAATAATATTTTGAATGTATTAGACTGCAATGTATTATTAAAATTAATTTTTTTTATTAATGAGATTGCTCAACAATGTTAAACTATATATACACTTCATGTTCTATTTCTATTGGATAGAACTCTTAGAACATTATGGTCCAATAATACCAAAAATGAGTTTAAATGTATATGTTTTGGTTGCATAAAGGTATGACTAAGACATCAATACAAGACTCTGAAGTGTAAAAGCAACAACAAAACTTTAAAAATCTTTGTCACTAAAAAAAAAAAAAAGAACCCTACAATGGCCTTTAATAAGTGATCAAGTGAAAGGAAGAGTCACATATTCTTCACATTTAAAAGCTAGGAATTGATTAAGCTTAGTGAGGCAGGCATGTTGAAATCCAACACAGGCCAAAAGCTGGATCTCTTGTGCCAAACAGCCAAGTTGTGAATGCAAAGAAAAAAGTTGTTGAAGAAAACTAAAAGTGCTACTCCAGAGAAGACATGAATGATAAGAAAACAAAACAGTCATGTTGATAATATGGAGAAAGATTTAATGGCCTGAAGAGAAGAGGAAACCAGACATAATATTCCTTTAATCCAAAGCCTAACCCAGAGTCAAGCCTTAACTCTCTTCAATTGTGTGAAGGCTGAGAGAGATGAGAAATTTGCAAAAACAAAAGGTTAAAGCTAGCAGTGCTTGGTTCATGAGATTGAAGGGGAGAAGCTGTCTTCGTAACATAAAAATTCAAGGTGAAGCAGCAAGTGCTGTAAAAGCTGCAATTCAGAAGGTCCAGTTAAGATAATTAATGAAGTGGTTACACTGAAGAGCAGATTTTCAAGCAGATAAAAATGGCAAGCCTTCTACCGTAAGAAGACGCCACCTAGGACTTCCGTAGCTAGAGAGAAGTCAAGGCCGGGCTTCAAAGGACAGGCTGGCTTTCTTCTTTGGGGCTAATGTAGCTGGTGACCTTAAGCTGAAGCCAAGGCTTACTTACCATTCTGAAAATCCTCTGGCCCTTACGAATGACACTAAATCTATTCTGCTTGTGCTCTACAAATCGAACAAAGCCTGGATAACAGTACATCTGTTTACGACATAGTTTATAAAATATTTTAAGCCCACTGTTGAGAGACTTTCACCTCACAAGAATGATTTCTTTCAAAATGTTACTGCTCACTGGCAATCCACCTGGTCACCCAAGAGCTCTAATAAAGATGTATAGTGAGATTAAGCTTGTTTTCATTTCTGTTAATACAACATCTATTCTATAGCCCATGGATCAAGAAATAAATTTGACTTTCAAGTCTTATTCTTAAGAAATACACTTTTTAAAGCTATAGCTGCCACATACAGTAATTCCTCTGACAGAATGATGCAAAGTAAATTGAAAACCTTCTGGAGATTATTCACCATTCGAGTTGCCATTAAGAATTCATGGAAAGAGGCCAAATATCAACATTAACAGGAGTTGGGAAGAAGTCAATTTCCACTCTCACGTATAACTTTGAGGAGTTCTAGATTTCAGTGGAGGAAGAAACTGCAGATTGGGCAAGAGATACAAAATTACAAGTGGAGCCTAAAGATGTGACTAAATTGCTGCAATCTCATGATAAAATATTAGTGAATAAGGAATTGCTTCTAATGAATGAGCAAAGAAAGTCGTTTCTTGACATGGAATCAACTCCTAGTGAAGAGGCTGTGAAGATTGTTGAAATGTAATAAAGGATTTAGGACATTATATAAATTTGGCTGATAAAGCAGTTGGCAGGGTTTGAGAAGACTGACTCCAATTTGGGAATAAGTTCTACTGTGGGTAAAATGCTATCAAACAGAATTGTGTGCTACAGATAAATAGTTTGTGAGGAAGATTTCAACTAATACAGCAAACTTCATTGTTGTCTTATTTTAAAAAACTGCCATAACCAGTCAACCAACAGCAACCATAAGCTTAATCAGTCAGCAGCCATCAACACTGAAAAAAGACTCTCCCCCATCAAAAAAATTATGACTTGCTAAAGGTTCAGGTGATGATCAGCATGTTTTAGCAAAATAAAACATTTTTAATTAAGGTATGTACAGGTTTTTTTTAAGGTATACTGCTATTGACCACTTAATAGACCACAGTATAGTGTAAGCATAAATTTCATATGGAAACCAAAAAATTCTTTTGACTTGCTTTCTTGTGCTATCTCCTTTATTTTGATGGTATGGAAATGAACCTGCAACATCCCTGAGATATGACTATACAGGTTTTGGTAGTCAATTACATATGAAAATTGAGGGACAGTGTTAAGGTTGACTGCAAGATTTCTACCCTAGTTGTCCAAGTGGACAGTGACATACTTTCCACTTCAGTTCTTACAGATTCCTAAAACGTTAACACCCCAATGCTAGTTCAGACACTCCACTTTGACTGGAATATTGCTTTCCTATCTTCATGACTACTTCTAAGCCAACTTTCTATCTGTGATTTCTCTGAAACTGTTCTCTACAAATACATTCAAATTCAGTCATAGCAAACTACATATGGTTCTCTACTTTCTGGCTTTAGTTACGCTAGTCCCTCCACCTCAAGTCATGCTCTTACCCTGCCAACCTGGTCAAACTTTACACAACCCTGAGGACCCACCTTTAATGTTCCATTATCCTACTGTTCTTAAACTTCATTCTAATTCATAAAAGTCTGAACTTTCTTCCTGACACCATTATAAACAATGCTGACATTTGGTAAACTAATCAAGTGCCAAATAAATTTAACTATTAAAAAATACCTTTCTTTTCAGTTTTCTCTTTCATCTTCTTTTCTTCTTCTCCTCCTCCACCTTTTACTTGCTCTTTAGCACCAGAAGATACGGTTATTGGTATAGACTGTATCTCATTTTCAGAAACTGTAGAATCAGTTTTTAGTGGAGTACCAGATGGAAATGGTATTTGTTTTACTGACAAAGAAAATGAAATAATGTCATTTATGTTAAACAAACAAACAGAAAACTATGAAACTGTGAATCATAAACTATTTTGAAACAAATACAGTTGATATACAATATGTTACAGGTGTTCAATCTAGTGATTAACAATTTTAAATGTTATACCATATTTATGGTTATTATAAAATATTGCCTATATTCCCCATGATGTATAATATATCCTTGTAGCTTATCTGATACACAATTATTTGTACCTCTTAATCCCCAACTCCAATATTGCCCCCCCTTTCCCTCTCTCCAGTGGTAACCACCCTTTTATTCCCTATATCTATGAGTCAGCTTTTTAAAATTGTATTCACTAGTTTGTTGTAATTTTTAGATTCCATCTATAAGTATTCGACTTTTTCTGTCTGACTTATCTCACTTGGCATAATACCCTGAGTCCACCTTTGTTGCTGCAAATGGCAAAATTTCATGCTTTTTTATGGCCGAATAGTACTCCATCGTGTGTGTGTGTGTGTGTGTGTGTGTGTGTGTGTGTGTGCATGCGTGTGTGCAAGCGCAAGCATGCATGCATATACCATGTCTCCTTTATCCACTCATCTGTTGATGGACATTTAGGTTGCTTCCACATCTTGGCAATTGCAAACAACACCACTAGAAAATTGGGGTGGATGTAATCCTTTCTAATTAGTTTGGTTTTTTGTATATATATAACTGGGAGTGAACTGCTAGGTCATATGGTAGAATATGAACTCTTCTTAAAAAAGAAAATTCAGCATATATGATTATCAAATCTCTACTATCTAAGACTGTTAAAAGGCTGCCAGGAAATTAAGTATCTTTTAACCATAAAGAATAAATGCATTATTCTCCTTCATTCACTAATGACTAAACTGAGAAAATTACAGATAACAAACATATAAACTAGTATTTATTATGAACTTACTGTGTCCCAAACACTTTTCAAAATGCTTTATCTGAATTAACTCTTACAATTCTTATAAATACCCTAAGCAGTATCCACATTTATAGATGACCAACCTGACCCAGAAGGTTGACCAGAGAGGTTAGAAGTGCAGCTTTTAATTAAATCACAGAGTAAAAGTGCATCTTTCTAAACTCCAATTTTGACACTTTTTGCATGATCTTAGGCAAGATCACTTATTTGCCTTTTCTAAGTTGCTATTTTCTCTTCGGTATAAGATGATAAATGCATGCTGCCTTTCTCATGAGTAACCAAGCATAAAATCTAACTTAATAAACAATACATGAAGTTAAGAAGCTGGTTCATCACATACATAGTGAATTAGGGATATAAGATTATTTATACCCAGGCTGTCTGTTTCCAGAGACTACACCTCTTATGGTTTGGCAAGATGGCATGTTTTTCACTCAGGTTTTCTCTTAACCTGAGAACAATCAGCTGGAAAGATGTTTTAGTAATAGTCATTTTTATATCAGAATTAATAGACAGCAGCATTACTTGTTCCTAATTTTATTTCAAAAAATGTTTTAAAGAACACTGCTACAGCAATGTGAAAAACATATTCACTGCCTAGTAAACATGGGAGAATATAATCTTATGAGGGATTATGACATGGCTTATTTTCCAGCCAATATTCAAACCACTTTTCTGAGGTATTTGTAAAGTTCCTTGGAAGTTACTGCTTCGTTTAGTAGTGAGAAGCTCCATCTATTTCTATTTTATTAATGTTGTTTTATAATAACATGACTTTATCTAGACACTTTTAAAACAACTCAATAAAAACTTTCATTTCATTTACAACATATCAGGTGAAATGATAATTATCTGCTGATTTGGATAACTTAAAAAAGAGCATTTGATTTCAGGCAAATTACATCTCTAAGTTTCAATGTATAAAACAACAATATCTGTGTACAAAAGATTTTAAGGATAAAATACATAATGTATATGAACCACTTGGTAGTGCCTGGCATACAGCAAAACTTAATAAATGTTAACTAAACACTATCATGGCTTATTTTCAACAACTATTCAATAGGGAACAGTGATGATTGAGTTTAATAGGGAATCAGTGATGATCACAGTAGAGATTAAAAGTGCAGTTCTCTAAACTCCAATTTTGGCACTTTTTGCATTACCATAGGCAAGATCATATATCTGCCTTTTCTAAGTCTGTATTTTCTCTTCAATGAAAGAGGATAAATGCATGAGAAGGGCAGCTGTGAGGATGAGACGAGTAATCAGCATAAAATCCAACTTAATAAAGAATGTAATAATTATTGTTATGAATCAACCTATCATTTCTATAATTAATCACCTCCATTTTGAATTTCTGCCTTAATTAGCTCTTGTTTCAATCCTTCAATTTCCTTCTTCAATTTAGCATTTTCAACTCGAAGTTTCTTCTCTTCTCTCAAAGTTGCCTGCAAAACTGGAATCAAGAACCACCAGTTAAGATATAGCTGTGTTTTTTAAAAGGTTTCTTATGAATACTACTTGATAAAAGCATAGCCAGTATAAACAAAGCTAGAACCATGTTTCACCAGTTCCTTTGTATCAGTTTAATATTTATTAAAACAACATGATATTTAAAAGAGAAAGGGAGAAAATCTGTGAAGTAGAAACAACAGAAGAGGTTTTATCAATCATTTTCCTAGCTTTTATAAAAATGCTATGACAATGTTAGAACCTCATTCAGTGTCAGTAACAGATTAACTGAATGACAAATATCAGATATATTAAACTTTTTTCAAAAGTCTAAGATCTAATAATGATACCAAACAATAAAAAATTGTTCTCATTTCTTCCTTTTTAATCAGTATCTTGTGAAAGGAAATGAAAACTCTTTAATTCCTAACGTCTCAAAAGTAGAGCTGGTGAAACATTAAATGAAATGATTTGCCCAACATAGTGTGTTAAAGGTGAGCAATAGGGTATACAAAATATAAAAAACAAGGATTCTCAGTGGGGTTGGTACCGCTCTCTAGGTGGGACTTTGAAAATCTCTAAGGGAATTTTTGGCTGTCACGAATAATGGGAGCCAGTACTAGCATTTGGAAGGCAGAGGTCAGGAATTTTAGATGTTCTGCAATAGGTTAAATACTCCTGTGAAATGAAGAACTGTCTCATATCCTGCAGGATTTTGCAGTGATATTGTACGATGCACAGGTGAAACCCTGTTTATTATTTGAGCCTAATTTCTAGTTATTTTTTACATTTAAACATTTTTAAACATTTTCATTACATTCTGAGTTTCTAGTAATCAAGTATCATGCAAATCAAGAGTGGACTGTACTTTGTTTTGTTCAAGAATTCTACTAAAGAAACATCACTCATCATTTTGAGTAAGTCAAAAACATGACTCAAAGCTGATTTTGGTATCTGAGTTGCCAACACAAAGGCACACTATTATATCAATCTGTACTACGCCTGCTGCATTTTTGCTGATTCCCTGTATGTGAATCCCACAGCATGTGATTTTCTCGTGTCAAGCAGTATAGTCCTGCGCATGTATTTACTTACATATACATATTTATTATGACTACTCTCCATAAATTACTTTCTTTTTAATTCTCTTCTATATTACATACATCTCTATAACCTCTTCATCTTTCTAATGGAAAGAAATATTAAGAATTTTAAAAAATAGTAAGAAAAATCCTTTTTAAATTTTAAGAAAAATAGTAAGAAAAAGTATTTATAAAATATTATAAAAATAAATAAAACAGTATTTAAAAAGAATAAAAATTTGATAAAGGGAAAAATTTTTAGATAGTAAATGTAGGATTCTGTAAGTCATTCAGTTTTACGTAGCAGAGTAAAGCATTTATTTAAATAAGTGATGGTAAAAGATTTTGGAATTTTCATAGCATTACCACAGGCTATTGAGAAATAAATTCTGGAAGCAGAAATTTAGATTTGATATTTTTTTGAATACATCATAGCAATTTCGAGGTAAAATGTAAGCACTGGAAAAACTATAAAAGTCATTTCAGAAAATACCCGAAAAGAGAAAAATGTGAAAGTAAAGATTTTCTTTTACATGAAGTTAAAGGAGATATTTGAGTTTCTATTTGATTTTACCCAGCTTTCTTCATTTTTAGTGTCTAGCTCTACACCAAATTATTTTAAATATTAATTTTTTTATTAATCTTAATACCTTGTTTTCTCTAAATATTACGTGCTCACCATACACCAATTGTAACTTATCTTAACCCCAGAATATTTGTTCACTCACAATTGCAATATTAAAAGAATACAGAAGTCATCATCAAGACTGTGAAGTAATATTGTATCTGGTAAACATATTTTTTTTGCTGTCACTATATGAATTCATTTTAAGTATCTCCCTAGAAAACTTAAATTTTCAAATTTTCTTACTTGCTTTCTCCTTAAGAAGAGCAACTTGTTGCTTAAGATATTCAATAATTTGATCTGCTTCTGCACCCTTCTGCTCCAATCTCTTCAGAACAGCATCACTGGTTGCCATTTTTGCCAAGAAACGGCAGAAACTCCTAAATGAAAAAATGAAAATGATACATTATACTGTAGAATGAGTAAGTTTATTGTACAGGACACCATGAACAAGCAGTCTGAAAGGAAAAACATTTTCTAGTGCAACAGAACCATATATTAGAAAAACAAATCAATTAAGAGGCAGAAATGTTAACAGATTAATTCCTCACTCTGATTGGAAAAGAAAGTCAATTTTTTCCCAAAAGCAGAAAATACAATATTTAATCATATTTCAGGTTGGAAAGTTTTAAAGCTTATGTCACTTTAAGACAGGAACACTAAGAGACAGACTAATAACAACCTTAACTAAGAGATAACTGAATACTATACCTGAGTTCCAAAGTAAAGACAATTACTGAATTTCTTCTTTATATGTTCCTTTATATTTCTTCTTTATATGTTTCTTTCATATATATATCTTTCATTGGATATTTCTACTGTCTATTCAATTATGTACAAACTTACATGTAAGGAAGAACATGTAAATTAGGAAAGACAATATTAAAGGAAAAAGATCAACAATTAGGAAAATATCAATATTAATCATTTACACACTGAGATATAATGTCAGTGCATATTATATATATATATATAGAGAGAGAGAATTCTATATACATAGATACTGACATTATATATAGAACTCTATATATTATACAATTCTATATAATAAAATACATTCTAATATCTATTATATACACATACACTGACATGACATATATAGAATTCTGTATGTTATATAATTTGATTTTCTTTTGTAGAAGAAAATAGAATTTTAATTTTATAATAATTCATAGAAATTAGAAGACATCCTATCAGTATGCAGATAATGCATATATAAGCAAAATTCTGAGATTAATTCATCATGTTCAAAAGTTCAAACCTTTGAAGCCAAATTCATAAAATTTATACTGCCAAATATTAAGACAGTTATGATGACAAAAGGTTAATCATTAACAATATTAAGAATTGCTTTTTACCTAATTTAACATCAGTTTACAGTTCAAAGAATGACACAAACATTGTTGAAATAGTTCTAATTTTAAATAAATGATACACATTCAGTGGTGAAATTTTTTTATTAAAAAACTGTCTAATAGTGGACAAATAATATAAGATTGTTTTAAATTTCAAATTATTAGGCAAAGAATACTGAGATTTTTTTTATAAAAAGAAAACCAACCCTCAAAAATCTTTATGCTGACAGTGACAATGTATGATATAGAAGTTTTAAAAACCCTATAAAGTTGCTGGTAATAAAGAAAATATAAATGGTGCAAAGGTGGTTAATCTGGAAAAGCCACAGTAAACTGCTCCATGGGCTATTACTTAATATCTTAGAAAAATAGAGGGAAAAAAATGTACAAGAGTGAAAATGAAGATATAACTTCTTAAATTCTGCCAATTTTTTTTTACCAAAAGTGAATACACAATAACCCTGTTATTGTTCCTCAAATGTCTGCAAAGCCAGAATTTTAAGAGAAAAATACACGGACACATGATAAAACTTTAAAGTTAGAAAGTTATGTTTTTTGAACTTTTAGGATCCCAGTTACAGCATTCTTTTAGTTTGAAATCTATTTCAGGTTAACGTAAGTAATAACCAAATGTTACACATTTCAATAGGTGAAAATAGCTATCGCTAACAAAACAATGATTTGATTTGGCATAAGTTGTTTGGTGTAAGTTGTAACTTTTGCTTCCATACCAATGAAAAATTTGATGAGTGATACTAAGATGAATGTGAAATTAGTGATACAAATTAGAAAAAACCCTAGTAAACTTATCTTAACAGATATGAAATAGATTTAAGTGTAAAACAGGTCTCATAAATTGAACAGTAGGTCCACAAAGTCATCTCATAAATACATCAAGTTGCTTAGAAAACCAAATATGAAACATGTGCCCTAACTTACAAAACACAGCTTCAAAACTAAGACTAAAAATAATTCACAAAATACAGGTAATAAATCCTAGTCTACAAGTAAAAATGATCTATAATTTTACTGAAATAAATCTATTAACTACCTGGAAAATATAGTAATAATAATGGGTTAAGTAAAATATAACTTGTGATACATAATGAAGCACAGGCTAAGTTTAGGAAAAGAGAATGCCATGTTTCAAAACACAGAAACACAAATAAGTTAAACATATAAATAGATGTACACAAAAGAGGAAACAATGAGATAAAGGGAAATGATAGAATAATCCTCAAAATCTTTGTTATCTAATGGTGAGAAGTTAGGATATATATAGTGAAAAGACGAACCATTCCAGAGAAACCAATATATTATTATCACAAACTGAAAACAGGAAAAAATTACAGCTAGTTAAGACAAGTTGATAATTCATTTGGTAGAAAATGTTTTTTCTCAATAAAATGTATGTATCTCTCACTCAAATACAAACAGATAAAACACGATCCAACTTTTCTTATAAATACCGCAGGACACTAATATACTATCCATATAAATATACCAAATATATTAATTTAGTTAATATATTATAAACATAAGTATAATTTATATCCTTAGCCATAAGTGTAAAAGTACTTGCTTAGATTAAGGTCTAGTTTTAAACTGGTAAAAAGCAGAACTTGGAAACATAAACTACCTGAAACATTCAATAAAAATGAATTCTCTAACTACTAAGTGGATAAACAAAACAGGAGAAATAAGAAAGAAAAAAGAAAACAGCAACAGACAGAAATGTTACTGGAAAACACTTATGTGAGCCATGAAATCTTAAAATACTTAGAATACAGAAGGATCCTATTCAACCATTCATACATAAAATAATTGTGGATGAAGCCATCTCGATTTTCTTCAGGTACCGGTCAAAGAAGCGACTGGCTACCCACTCCAGGATTCTTGCCTGGAGAATGGACAGAGGAGTCTGGTGGGCTACAGTTCATGGGGTTGCAAAGAGTCAAACACCACTGAGCAACTAACACGTCCATTTTCCACTTTCATGTTCAGGGCAACAGTGCTAGCTTAACAACATCACTGCTTTAAGTTCAGACAGATGTTTTATCATTCAGCCCGGGGCTCATTTCACTACTGCGTGACGACTGCTCCACAGTGCTCCGTTTTACACTGAGTATCCACTGGATTTCAAAATTTTACGCCTGCTTAGTCTCCTCAGAGTTTTTAACATGCTAATACATATAGGATTTCTCACAGATGATAAAGTTAATAATAGGTAACTTCTGCAGAGCATTTATCGTGGGCTAGCTAAATGCTCTACACAGATCAGCCACAAATACAGTAATTATCTCCATTATATATAGAAGAAAAATAGACTTAAAATTAATTTGCCTCAGGTCATGTGGCTAGTTAGTAAATGAGGATTAAAACTTAGGTCTGTCTGATTCTGGAGTTAGCTCTTTTAATGCTCAAGCTATAATTTCAATAAAGGATATGATTATGAAGCACTTCCCAAAGTATTTAGCCATGGAATACTAACCAACGAAAAGCTATTAAAATTTACTTGAAGAAGTATTTTCTACAACAGTTTGGGAATGCTGACTTACTCTGCGCCAAAATTAAAAAAAAAGAAAAGATTACGTGATTAAAATAGATATAATACTTAACTGCATGCTCAGTAATTACAAATCCAAAACATTTACAGAGAAGAAAACAGTATACCCAGTATATTAACTGTATTTAGATAGTAAGAGTCAAAGCTTTTTTCCCTTTTTCCTCTACTAAATTTTAAAAAATAAATTTTTATGATAAAAAGCTTTGAAAAGTATTAGCTAAGTTACTCTGCCCTTTCACATTGTTTTTTTCAACATAACCACCATATTTCATCAAACTTAAAATGCTGCTGTAAGATGTCACTAATCATAAAATCAGGTGAAGCCGGTTTTATGAAATACATGAATTTAGATTGTATCTTAATCATTAAAACACATACAAAAAAGATTATTTCTGAGATTCCTTTTTTTAAGCTTTTTCTTTTTAAACTGGATCAAATTTTTTTTTTTAATTTTTTACTGAATTTGTTACAATACTACCTGTGTTTTATGGTTTGTTTTTTTTTTTTTTTTTGCCACAAGGCATTGGGATCATAGCTCTCTGACTAGGGATCAAACTCACACTCTCTGCATTGGAAGGTGTAGCCTTACCCACTGAACCGTGAGGGAAGTCCCTGAGAGTCCTATTATTTATAAACGGCTTCCCTTTACTTCAGCAATCTCTTCAGTAGTCTTCCCCACTCTGATTTTACATTGCCAGTATTTTAAAAATTAACAAATCTTCTACCCCAATCTCTCAATGTTAGGAACCAAACAATCAAACAATTGCTTTGAAATGGAAGTTTTAACTGCAGATTTTCATTTTTACTTTATAGTATAGAGAATTCCACAAAAATTTGGAAGTGATTCTCTATTTCTCAAAATATCTGATTTTGCTGTTTCAGAATTGCAATTAGCTGTTTATATTTATATTCTCCTTATATTTATATTTATGTATTTATATTCTCCTTTAATTTATATTCTCCTCAGACACTCTAAGCATTGTATCTCATCAAATATAAGATACCGTCTATTATAAAATGGCTCCAGTAATTAAGGAAAAAACCATAGCTGATTTAACTGATCTAATGCTCTCTTACCTTTAGTCACATCCTGTATTATGTACTGAAATACCTGCTTTGAATTTACTGCTTTTGGCTTTCAAGTATGTGATCAGGGAATGAATTAAAATTTCAGCTCTGCCACTCATTCACTAGCTGTGACTTTATTACTGAAGTATAGCTGATTTACAATGTTGTGTTAGTTAAAGGTGCACAGCAAAGTAATTCAGATACACACACACACACACACACACACATACACACACTCACACGTTCTTTTCCAGATTCTTTTCCCATATAGGTTGTTACAAAATATTGAGCATAGTTCCCTCTGCTATACAGTAGGCCCATGTTACTTAACCCATTTTATATAAAATAGTGAAAGTTACTCCCAAA